TGTAGAAGCGTTAGAATTATAATGCTTTTATGATAACTTGCATAATAGCAGGTGCTGTGGTTCCTCATACCTCCCACACCAGTATAATTCTCACTGTGCTCCGTGTGCTTCCCCCATGAGTGAAAGTGAGAAAGGAATTTCTCCATTTAACTGTTATCTCTCCACAACCTGGATTATTGTTCCCTCTTTGCTTTGTCTTGACAAGTCTGCAGCTATGTGCTAAAAATCCATTAACATCTAAACAGGTTAAAAGTATGTAACAATACCTGTCTGACTTATCACATAGGCAATTTAGACAGAATTGCCATAAATCTTTATGTTCCATGACTGTATGCTAAACAGAAGCACAGATCAAGTATCACAAAATAGCAGCTTCTAGTTTCTATTTTTCAGGCAAGGGCAACATGTGAACAGTGCACTTCACAATGACATAAGGCACTTACTGCACAGAAAGGTATTAGTAATTTTATCCTTATTGGGGAGACAACAGGATATTATCATCAGCTAAAACTCTGCTACTGAATGTGCTGTGAACAAATATTGAACAAGTTGAATCATATATCTGAGGATGTTTTGCCTTCAGTAACCGATATGACTCCTGGAACACTTTCACAATGACTCATATGACAACAATTTGACTTGTTTATTGACTTTATGCAGACAAAACACAAAAGTACACTAACATTTCAATGTGTTTGTGCATACAATGTGAACAGACTTTGTGAATTTAGAATCCCAGCAGAAGATTCACAGACCACAAGACACATATTGGGTAAAAAAAGCTGACATTTAAAGAAATGCATCACTTAGTAAAGGATACTAATTTTCCCTGTCCCGTCCACGTGTAGTTTAGTCCTTCTATATGTATATGTAAATATATGCATTTATAGGACATTTCTAAAAGCATATAAATGAATGTAATGATTTTAAAGGCTCTTGCACATAGGCATACAATATACTGCGTTCAGATCGGAACAATGTTCAGTTGTTTTATGGATCTACAACAGTATTGTATGCTATGGGCCCATTCACACAGCTGGGTTTTGGTTTATTCCGTAGTGTTTAGCTGTGTAACCCAAAACAAGAAAAATCTGCATCTGTAGTTCGAGTTCATCTGTATTTTACACGATGCATATGTAAACACATGTGTAATGCGTAGATAGACATGGTCATCTGTGCTACTACTGTTGCTTTGTGAAGTCATGGCCTGGGGGAGACGTAGACATAAACAATAAGTAGTTATAGTAGGTGATGCGGAATGACCTTGGCAAGGTTACTCTGCACTGCCATTGCTGCCTACATATTGCTGATGTTTACATTTCACCCCTGGCCCTCAAGGAGTCATTCACTAGACAGCATCAATGTCGCAGCTTTAAACCACTCAGAATGACTAAGGGCCAAGGTCATTTTGCGCCGTTGCAGTCAGTATTAAAGGATAATCTGCCAAGCAAGACAATTAAAACTGGAGGATTGCTGCTGCGTGAGGCTTCAGCTGCATTTTATTTTTTGCAGCAAAACTCATTCACTTTGCTGCATGAAAATGCATTTCGAGTAGAAATCCCATTATTTGTTATGTTGCTTGTTCAGTTTAGTGTGTAAGGGAAACTATATGGGCCCATTTGCACCTATATGTGTACGTTATCACATGTGCTGCAATGCACATGGGACTGAGTGAATCCAACCTTGAACTTTAACATCGGAAACATCAAACAACATCACCCTATACAGATGTAAAAAAGTAGGTAACATCAACAGTTTAATAATCTATAAACTAAATGTAACAATGTGAATGTGTGTATGATTACTCGTGAGTGAGTGAGTGTGTTGTGATGCAAATAACTTCATGTACATGATAAACTGCTGAATATGTCAGCACTATAAAATAAGTAGGGCATAAAGCATTCATTTTTTTCTGAAATCTTTCCAAAACTCTACATTATTCAGCCTGGCAGGTGAGAAAAGTTCTATCACCCTCAGCTTCTCCTAATACTCGGGGACCACGGTGTGGAAATCCTCAAAGATAGACCAGTCCTGCTTGATTCCTCATTTATTCCTATTAGAATCCATTAGGGGCCCTGAACACATTGTTTGGCATAAAATAATTTCTCAGCAGAGGTATGAGTGTGCGTGTGTGTGTAAAATATGCTGCACTCAGCACTGGGATTTGATAAATGGAATCCAAATAGTAATTGTACCAAGCAGCACACAAAACAACACTGAAGCATTTGACAGTTATTATTATTAATGGATTAATTTGCTGTCTTACATCTGTTGGCATTTTTCGGGTTGTGAAAGATAACTCCAGTTTATCATGGCGCAGTTCTTAAACTATAGACGTCTGTTATTGTTACCTATCATTAGGACATACAATAATAAAATATTTTAATTTGGATGATAAAGTATAGTTACCTGATATTGTTGATAATGAATTCATTTATTCCATGTGAAGGGTAAGCAGCATCACCAGTAAATCATTTATTCGTAGGCAGCTGAGATTTATGATTAATGTCCACAGACTAATGAACTACAATATTTCATCTACTATGGCAATCTGTTCTAAATTACATTGTTACTACTTTAGCCATGTTATTCATTATATAGTTTTAAGCCGTGAAATTGATGTCATCTCTTCAGTATTTCTTAAGAACCTTCATTTATTAAATGTACCTCCCTGAGGTTTCATATAAGTTTGTTGAAAGGATTTGCCTCAGAGCATTTTGTATATCTACTGAGAAACTCAGCTGATTAATACAATAGAATTTTACAGTAAGTAGAACATACCCGATTTAAAATAAGAGGGTGACTATTTCAGCGCTCCTTCCTCTGCTCATACTTCTTACTAAAAAGAGACAGCGCGAGACTGTGTCAGTGTGAAGCGAAAGAGAGGGGGACAGATATCCCCAGAATTCTACTTCCATTGAGACGGTTTTCCTCTTGTGATATTTGATTTACTCCTATCTATAGGAAGTCAGTAAAGCTGTTTAATGGCATAAGAATTATGCTAATCCTAGTGAACCCCCAAAGTGCTTTTATGGAAACCACTAAGTGAAAACTGCATTTGTGTTGATAACATTAAGCTAATGCCTATTTCAAACTTCTGTTGGAGGAAATCCCCTTAGGATATCTAGTACAGATGAAAGTATCCCACAGGTTGCTAATCAGCTCTACTGGCAAACAGAAAGGCGTCTAATGTATATGTTACCACAAGGTTTATCTAAGATGATGTGGTGGGCAATGTTAATATGCTTATACATTAGTTAAACATTAAACCAATCATTTTAATTGGATATAATGTTAGGATGTATATGGCCTTGGTTCTCAACTGGTGGGTCGTGACCCAAAAGTGGGTTGCGACCCCGTGTTCAGTAGAACAGTAGAAAGGCATCATGGCACACTCACAAACCAGCATGTAAAACAACTTGTCTCACCACTAAGGACAATGACAGAGGTTTGGATACACGTCTTCTGCAAAGGATGTGTAAGCCGCACTGCCGCGCCAAGGCACCTCTTATAGTGCGGTCCTAACTCTAAACTATGAGAGTCTCCATCTTGGAGCACATGGGGGGCAGAAGATATCAAATTGGGTGCAGGCCTGTCAGGAGGACGCCCCACCTCCTTAAAGGTACAGAAACACACAAGGGATCCCGCACATCCCATTGGCAGCTGAGAAACCCCATGCGTCGCTGCACCAAATGTTCCCGTGTTCAGTAGGTCACCGTATGCCTTCCACTTTTCTAGGTGAGAGACTCATCTGCCTTCCCCTAGCGCAGCACTGTCAGTTCTTGCGCCAAGCAGCCATTCAAAATATGCTGCCCGGCCTCAAGTGTCAGCTTGAGATGGGATGGAGCTATGGCCGCAAGGGAGCTCCATTCATACGTGCATTGCTTACAGCTTCCTCACGTGTCCTATACAGGTGGCTGGAGCCGAATGACATCACATTCTGGCTGTTGGCACCTTTACAGGGCGTGCAAGAGAGCTGTACAAGCAATGCACATGTCTGGAGCTCTGGCACAGCAGCTCACACTGAAACCCAGGCTGAAGATACACTCCAGTTCTTGCAAGGTAGGAAGACTGTGAGGACCTTAAAAAAATTAAAAGATTTTTGGAGTGTGTATGTCTGTGTGAGAATGTTTGAGTGTGTGAGATTGTGTCTGTGGTTGTGTATGTATGTCAGTGTTTCTGAAGGCCTGTTCACACTAGCACAGTGCATAAACCACATAGTATCGTGTGATTAACGCACTGTACCACGTAATCTGACCTACTGTGCATTCTGGTGCGGGAGGTGTGTTGCATTGCCATTTATTTGAATGGTACAACAAATGCACCTCCCATCACAGATTGTACGCCCAAACCGGAACGCGCGGTACCCTAATGCTGTGCGTTCCATTGCAGTGCAACTTGGGTCCCGACTTAATGACCAAGGACAAATGTGGGTCCTGAGGTTACACAGGTTGAGAACGACTAGTCTATGGTATACCTGGCCTGCTGGGGATAGGCTTAGTAGAACTTTATACAGTTGGTGGATTCAAATTTCTTGGCAAATAAGTAGAACCTTTCTGCTTACCACATGGGTTGGGAGAGATATCAGGGTATATGTAGGATCATACATTTTTATGTACTCCTGAAGAAAGATCCTTTGACAGCTGGATCATTTGTTAACATCTGTCAATCATCTAAGGTATCATCAATGACACTTATCCTCTTTAAAATACTGTAATCCAGTAAAAAAAAGAGCCTGGAAACTAAATATTTTCATTGGGGCATCAATGACAACTTAGAGTATAACAGGAAGCAATGCTTAGTGAAAAGAATCATATTCCATGTCATTATTGGAATAAAGCTGTAAACTACAGGATTGTTCCAGTAACTGCAAAATGTATTTAGTTCACAATAAAAGTGAGTTGCTTCAACAAATTTTGCTAACAAAATTCTCTGGAGAGAGAAAATGCCATTTTCAGTTTCACAAAGTATAAAGGGCTAATAATGAGCCACATGCAATATAAAGATCCACATTTTTAATTGTATGTCTTGTATCATGAAATGGCTTTTCATCATAAATAAATCTTTTGAAGACAACAAATAATATAAAAACACGTAAAATACAGTCATTTTAAGGTGTCTATAGTGTGGGTTCAGTTCTAAAGCTTACTAAACCCCATTGTCCTGTTTAAAAAATAGAAAAGCAAAAAGGAAATGTTTGCAATAGGCATGAACAATTAGTAAAGTGCTTTGTAGAACATAATATTTACAATTTAAGGAGGTTCTTGTGGGGAGTATCCTAGCTCCACCCCCATCTCCTGCTGGATATTTCAATTACTCCTATGAAGAATCCATCAGGTGGCCTTGGCCACATTTCAAGGAGGCTATTTGCAACACTTCCTGAATGTCAAAAGTCTGTATTTTTGTTCTCTTGTACCTTCAGTAATATAAATTGACAGTAGAGAATTCACCTTGCACAAGTGGCCATATGACACATATTGTTTTATATCATCACAACACCATCGAAACACTGTGACAAAGTGGAGGTGAATCGTCCTTAAGAAGTTCTATCTGGCAGCAAAGCGAATGTATATGTCTTGTAAAATAGCCAGATGAAGAATTATATCATCACAAGTGCTTGACCTTTTTTTATGTGCTTTGCAGTCTCCCCCCTGTCCACTGTAATATTTCAACTTTGACCTCCAGATGGCTCCTTTAATTTCCTGTTTTTAGTGCTCTGTTTTCTCTCCTCATATGCAATAATTTTTAAGAATCTCCATTACTTTCTTGCCTAGGGCAGGTTTCCATGGATGGACAAAACTTTTCATATTGACAATGAGACGACCAGTGCGGACATCTTCATATCCTGCAACCAGGTATTCCAGACCTGTGGAGATTACCAAGTATAAGTGAAATGTAATACTATTTATATATTTCATTTTGTCATCTTGGAAATTATAAATTAACAAAAGATTTATTTACATGCAAGCCCAATGTTTCCCAAACTTTAGTCAGCCATGTTCCATGGTATCAACCCTAGCATTGTCCATGTGTCAAATGAAACAAGCAGTCAGATACATAAATGAAATCTATCCAGTTGAAGAAATCTCTTTCCAGTTGGCAAGAGTGCCCATAAGCATGGCTAAGCTGGTGACCTTACTTTTCTCCTCTGCAGAAATACAGTTTGGTCACTAACCCTGCCATGCATGTGATTGGTTGATGTAGAAGCAAAAACACACCAACAAAGTCATCCCTCTACTCTCCTTTCCCATAAGCATGTTCATGAAGGGAGACTAACTACAGTGTGTAAAGCAATAAAACCCTGATTAATTCAGAGTGCTCCCCTTCACCTCCCACTGATTCCTGCTTTTCCTAGTATTGCAAGAGACGGATATCATGACATAAAAAGGTACTTATACTATTGTTATATGGAAATGCATTTAAAAAATGTTTAATGACTACATTCCACTGAATTAAAAGGTGATTTGCAAGTCATGGGAGTTGCTGCAGTTTACATAGTAATACATCCATGGAATGCACGCAAGAACCTTTGTTTCGTGTTTGAATGTAATCCAAAGTCATAATTGCATGTATATTGTTCTACAGTCCTCCAAGACAGTATTACACCCAGGTTTAATTACGTCAGCTCATAAAGAATGTGTACCCAGAAAATTGCTCAGTAGAAAAGGGTAATCGGAAATTATTTTAATATTGTTGGCAACTGTGTGCTTGATGAGATCCATTTAGTTTGGCAATTACTGTGCTGGTTTTCAAGATTAACAATATCCAAAGATAATTTTATCCAAAAAAAAGAAAATTTATTAAAAAAGTGCAAAACAATAATGTGGAATGACATACAGCGTATGCAATCAATCAGCACTCTGGTCAGCATTCACTTGCTTGTTATATTTTATTATATTAAAGTTGTTTCCCGATTGATTGGTTGTTATACTGTTCATACAGTAATTTTACTGCAACTCTTATCTAGCATTTACTTCTTCTTTGGGCAAGGAAAGGAAGAAAAAGGGGCTTGGCTGTAGAATTAAATGATAGCAACTACAAGAGCGATGAATATTGTCAGTTTCTATTACTATCATATCGCTAAACTTTGGCCTCTGACTTCCACCTGTTCAGTTGGATAAACTCATTAAATCAGTAGAATGTGCATTTAGCCTACTAAGGCTGTGTTCATGTCAATCATCCAATCATGTGCAAAGGCATTCCTTTTTTTTAACTCCTTGCACACAATCAGGTATTTGAAGTATATACAGATTCACTGGGCTAAGTGAACACCTTTAAAAAATCAACCCCAATAAATAATTTAGATTTAGATGTAATGCAGCCATTTCTAATATGCTATCAGTATCACAACACTGAGATTAAATTAATAATGTTTTAGAAAAAGAAAAAGTTTAAAAATGATGAATGCAGTTATGGAAAATTGATGGCGGGTTGGAGTTTGTGATGAAGATTTAGTAATATCACTATACAGTTACTAAAAAAAACCCATAAAAAAATGTAACCTTGTGTATTGCTATAGAGGACTGTACTGATCCCATTTTCTTCGATCAACCACAGAGACTAGTAAACTTTCAGAAATACATGTAATGAGACTGATTAGAGATACTGTACCTGGGTTTAGGATAGGACAAGTGCAGCCACGGTTTGTCCATGATTCTGGATACAGAGTCCTCTTTCCTTTTAGGATCTTTAACTTGGTCATTTTCAAAACCTTTTTAATCTTCACATTCACTTCAGCATGAGACCCCCTATCATGGGCTGAGAGTATCTTTATTTTCAGCACTGTCCCGGTAGAAATATTTCAGAAAGGAACATAGAAATTACAGATTAGGAAAACTGTTTTGCTAACAATTAATCATTCTGACAAAAACAACTATCAAATGTTGTAAAAATAAATTAAGGGCTGAAATGCGGGAAATGATTGTAGAGAAAATACCAACTAGTGTATGCTTCTAAAGTACAGCTAAAGGCTTCTAAATGACAATCTGAACAAGTACCAAATCCAGGTACTATGTGATGCACAAGCCTCATAAAGTAAACAAGAAACTTCCTGACTGAGCCAAATCCTCCTTCATTTGTGTCACACATGCTCCCCCTCTTATACACTGCAGCTCATAGTAGGAGGGTTTCAGCAGCATAGTCAGTGTTGTCAATCCAGAAAGCAGAGGGCAGGTGCTGACTGACACCCTACAGGCTTGTGATTGAGCAGTGTCAATGCTAATAGCCATACCCCCTGCAACATTTTTTAACTCCACTGCAGTGCAAGCAGGCACAGCCTACATGAGAGTGGCAACACTGCTCTGAATTCAGGAGCCATGCAGCATCGTTGCCAAATCAATCACAGGAAGCTGCATGAGGTGGATTTCACTGGCAGGATTAACAGTTATTTGCAGGACTTAGCAGGTTGGCTAAGAGCAAAGTGTAACTGAAAATGAACTTATAATTAGATGCTGCACCATATATTTATATTACTGGAAGGTCATGGTTCTAAGTAGGACAAAAAAAATTATATTATGAAAAAACGGTAACTTGTGGCAAGCAATCAGACGTCATCTCTTAAAGGAGAACTATGAGGTGAGTGATTTCCACTCACCTCATAGTTCTAGCCGACCTGTGACAATGAGACTGTCACAGGTCGGCTCAGTAGATCGGGAGGTGAGCGAACACATACTGGCGTTTGCTCACCTCTCGATCCTGTCACGGCTCTCTGCCGCTCGCGGTATACAGCTCGCGGTATACTGAGCCTAGGGTGACGGGAGGACGCTAGTTTGTGTCCTCCCGTTACCCTAAGGAGAACTATGAGGAAAAGACTTAACCCCATAGTTCTCCTTTAACTAATCAGGCTACTGTATATTATCTAATTGGCTGCTATAAATTCCAGTAGCTTGTACATGTTGAGCCCTCTATGTATTACTCTGCTGAATAAGACTATAGCTATACTGGCATGTACATTTCCTGCTACTTTCCTAAATGGAATCAAATGATAACTGAATTACGGCAATAGGCAGATCAGCAGAGAATTACAGAAGAAGATGCATACAGTTAGTTGTATTTCTTATAGTTAAAGTAAAAGTCAATTTGCTCTCTTTTAATAAAGGCTCCAGAGTGTTGTCAGGTGATGAATTGTGTCTGTAATGAAGCTCATATTCCTCCTCCATACACAGAGTGATGAAAGGGTGAAGGACCTGTGTGCTACATAAGATTTATTCATTTGTTTTTTTGCTTCCACTCCTTATCGTTAAGGAAGATTAAATATCATCACTATCACACTCAGGAAGCTAGAGCAACACACAATCATAATTTTTCACCGATGCAAGACCCCTTGAACTTTTCTTTGCAGGGCACCACGTCTTTGTTGGGTATAAACATATCTCATGATCCACTCCCAGAGAGGAAACAGGTGGGGACAGTTTTAACAAATGTAAAGGGAGTTTAATGCACACATTGCACGAATGCAAAGTATAAATACATATTTTATTAGCCAGCTGAAATGCATCTAAGAGTGCTGTGCAAATGACCAGAGGTTGTTAATCATCTTAAATTCCAGAACAAATTCCATGTGCTAAAAGCAAAAAAACAAAGAAAAACTTCCTGATTCTTTACAGCCTAAAACACAACTGCAATCACCATAATTAACATTACACCATTATTGTAAAATTAAGAGGCCTCTTAACTGGAATTCATAATACTTCTGTTTTATAGAATACTAATGAGACATAATCAGCACACCAAATGAATGTGTCAAAAGCAACAAAAAAAAAAAGGTCAATTTATTGACGCATATTTTAACTCAAAACAAGCGATTTCAGGGCCGCACAGGTTCCCCTTCATCAGAACCATGATTCTGAGGAACGGGGTGCGCCCCTAAAATGCATAAACTAAGCTCACAGTGGACAGTGGTGTGTTTGATGTGACCAGAGGCTGCTGTGCTATTAAGTCTGGGCGGATTTCTTCCCATGACAACAGTGTGGCTAATTAAGGCGTTCTGAAACTTTACTCTTGTGAGTATTTATACCTGTTTTTATTTACCTAATAAATTCGTTTTACACATGGAGGCGGCACATCTGTTATTGAACATCCAGGGGCACATGGTAGGTGAATAGAAACCAATGAGTACACATTGTAGATGAACAGAAATGAAAGAATACCGTCACAAGTGAGTAGTGGCCAAAGTATATAATTAGTGCAAACAGCAAGAGAGTGGATAATAAATAAACAGATATCTGTTGTAGGGCAAATAGTATCAGAATGAGCTCATAATTCCATTTATAAATAGGTCCCTTCATGATACTAGCATTTAGCATATATATAGCTTATGGGAACTTATAAAAACAAGTGATTTACATATAATGAGGTTTGTCTTATGTCAATAAATGTTTTTTGAATAACAAATCCTGTACAATCTCTGCTAGTTACTATGCCTTAGAAGTATACCGGACTGGCGAGGTTCCTTCCCATAAGAAAACAGATTAGTGCTCTATTATAAATGAATAATCGTGCCATAATTGTTCAGCTTTCGCAGCCGCTGGTGACTGCTACTAATCCAGACAAAAATTATTTCTCTTATATATCCAGTAGCATTATTTCTTGGTGTTTACTGCTTCACCACAAAATATCTGTTTTCTACCGTGTTTCCCCCGAAAGTAAGACCTACCCCGAAAATAAACTATCTTCAGGGATTTCTGTAATTTAAGACCTACCCCGAAAATAAGACCTAGTTTGGTGGTAGATCTCATATTACAGACATCCCTGAAGATAGTGCTAGCCGCAGCTCCCTCCCTCCCGCCCCCCCC